ACCACTTATTTACAAAAATATTGCCGTCTTGTTGCCTTTGGAGTTGCAAAAATAGCAGTAAGAAGGGCTTTCGACTCTTAAGAGTACCACGAGAAAGAAGAATGGAGTTTTGGCGTAATGTTATCAACATAACTACAGAGTTTTAAATTTCCCGCTTGACTTTCGAGCCAAAATGGCGTCAAACCGCGGTACTTTGTAAATCTAGGGACTTTATTTTTTTTTAATTCAAATAAACATATCATTATAGTGAGTTTAGACATGCATGGATTTAGTGGCGCCAATAAAAACTGGCGCGCCAGTAAAATTAAATTGCATGTGTAAACATCAACTGTCATGCAAGTTGAAATCATGCATGCATGGATCGAAAAAGTCTGCACCCTTCTGAAATCACTGGCGCCAGTGATAAGTTTAAAAACATGTAACCATGACAGCATAGATGAATATGCACAACAACACAATTTTTTTATGTCAAATGTAGGTTATATTTCATTGCATTCAAATTAAATCCGAATTACGTTAACACATTGAACGTTTAATTATCCACATTAAACCTAGAATATATCTATTTTCGTTTCGGTTGAGGTCCCAATTTGTGTATATAGTTGTGCAGTACAGTTTAAAAATGAAACTGGCGTGTCACTTATTTTTGTTTTTGCACATGTAGTGTAAACCGTTACTGGCGTGCAAATAGAACTGGCGCAACTACTGGCGCCACTAAATCCATGCATGTCTAAACTCACCTTTAGTCAATATCAAATTGGCAATAAACAATATCATATTGGCATTAATCAACAAATTTAGCACTAATCAAAAGCAAATCGGCATTAAACAAAATCAAAATGACATTAGTCCATATCATATTGGCACTTATAAATTTTAAATTGACATGGAAATAAAATTATATATCAGCATTAAATAAAATGAAATGGGCAAAAACATTTTATTGACTTACAAACACAGTAGATAACAATTATATTACTTAAGAAAGTAGGTAACGTTATGTTTTAAATAACACTCTTAAAAATTTCTATTTTGCATATTCAATGCAGAAGGGATAAATCGTTGGATGTGGGCAATAAACATTGCGCAATTGGCAACAGTAATCTTGTCCATATTATTAATCTAATTTTTGCATTCGATATTCTGTTTGAGTCAGATGATCCCGGTCAGCACCAGCCAAGATGTTATTTAGCTGTACAGCCATATCTGCTTTTACTCCTGCTTTTAATGCAGACCATGCTTGTTCAATAGGATTAAACATAGGGCTGTACGGACTTAGTCGTAAAACTGTGTGGTGTTCAAATTCGTTTTCTGCAAAAACCTCTTCAATAGTAGAGTGGCATGGAGCATTATCAATAACTAATGCAACTCCAGTTTGGTAAAGGCCTTGCGCTCTTCTTAGGCATTGCCTCACAAATTCATTTGCTTCCGGCTTCTTGAAAGAGCCCCGACGTACTTCGGAATGAATTAGCCCCATGTTTCCAATGCATGCTATTAGGTGAATATTCGACCCTCTGCAACCTGCAGACACTGTTGTGCAGCGAGTCCCTTTTTTTGAACAACCCTGAGTCCGCGATATGAACAAATTAAAGTTTGTCTCGTCCATGTATATGATAGGTATATTTTGTGCTTGAAGATCCAATAAATTTTCTATCGTTTGAATACTATTCGCGTTCTCTGGTTCTCTACGAGCAGTCTTCAAAGTAAACATCAATCCATTGAGATGCTGTCGAACGCATTCGTTGGAGACATTGAGTGCAAAATCTTCACGGATTTTTTCACTTAGTCCTTTAAGAGTAATTTTAGGATTTTCTTCAACTGAACGTTCCATGAATTGACGGTGCTCATCAGTTATTTTANGGATTTAAATCAACTTTATTACTAATTGATATCTTAGTCGCTTTACTAGAAAAAATAAACTTTATAAATTGTTGAACTCGTCGGTTTATTGGCACCGTAAAGGTGTTATGGAAAGATCGTAAACTTGGTTAGTTAGGATAGCTTTTAAGATTGTCGTACCGTCTGGTGCAGGTAGCAACAGTTTGGACAGAGTAACTACGTTTAATTATGTTCTTCGAAAACTGGAAATTTGCGAACTCCGTTCGAAAAACATCGCGTAAGTTATTGCTTTAATAGCGTCGGTGCTCGACGGCCCGGCAAAGCTGCCGAGGCCCTTATGCATCGGCCCGTAAGTTTTAAGCATTCAATTTATTGCCCTCCAACTTTTGGAACCACACCGGAACGGTTCCCAAACCATCCGAACTCTTAAAAATACAATTTATTTTAAACATTTTCATTATAAATTGTTTTTAAATATCGAAGTTCACTTTAATAGTTTAGTTTTTTTTTTAATTCGTGAAAAAATTGGTTTCAAATGTTGCCTGTGAACGGAGCTCGGTGAAACAACAAATAAATTAAAAACAAAAAATAGGTAACGAACCCCTTTTACTTCTGTCGATTTATTTGTTGTTGTTACTCTTTGATATATGGTCCGCACTCGTCGACAAAAAGGCGTGGCTTTCGCAAACAAACAAACTTGCAATTTATTTTTTAGATTTTAAAGCATACAACATGGCTCATAAATAGGTCTGTTGAAAAAAATACAGGAAAATGCGTTTAAAAAAAATTACCTCACAATTTATTTTCCATTTCAAAAAGAATTTACATTGCATAAATTTCAACGAAATTCTTGTGTGAAGAACTCGATGATATAATTTTTTATTACATAACTATTCCAATTAATCCTTAGATTAATCTACCTCGTTTCAATCTTTCGATTTCTTGACAGCTTTCAGCACACTTGTTTGGAATTACAACATATTTATGTGGTTTCGTGTTATACTTTGTATTAAGTATTTTATTTGATTATCTTTGTTACCTTTATTATAATTGGAACTTGAAAAACTTGTCAGTTATAAATTGTTATAATCTTATTAAAATAAATGCTTCTTGGTTTATGTAATATATCTGCGTAAATCAGCCTAAATTTGCTTTGATGTGCCTTAAAAATTTTAACACTTATAAAGTATACCGCGATGAAAAAAGTTTGCGAAACACAGATTAATGGCGTGGTATAAAATGTTGGATGGATATAATTAAATTACCCAAGACTTAGAATAATGGAAAATTATGTTATGTCTCAAACTACTCAAATTAAATTAACTTTTATTAATTTTCTAGTATCTAATAAGAATCTTTTTGGCGGAGGAGCCGGAAAAATTTTTGATAAATATAGTACTAAAAATGTAATTTTCTTTCTTAACATTCTAAGAGTTGTTCTCTAAAAACCGTTTAGTTATAATACCATTTAACTTGGTTTATTGGCCAGTTTAGTGCTGATGAAATGGCGCAAGATCTAAGATAAGGGTTGACCACGAGCGACCTTAATAGAGTTACGGTTTATTTTACGTTATATTGTTTTGTTCGGGCGACGCCTTGTGATTAATTCTATCGCGTAATATACTGAACTGTTTGGGGGGGAAGTAAAGGATTTATTGCCATCATTAGTTAGGCCCATGGACTAACTAACTGTAGCGTTTTCCATCTCCGTATACAACGGCGTTGTGACCACCAAATAATTACCAGCCGTCTTAATTACTATCCCTTTCGTAAAGGTTCACGTGTAACCACGATTCTATCTATAAAGGATACAAGATTTAATTTGCTTCGTTAAAATGATATATTTATGTTTAATTGAATAAAATATGTTTTATTTGATTACTAAAATATATTTTAATTAACAAATAAACAATTTCTCGTATACATCTACTTTGCAATAATTTGTTTGTCTTTATTTCTCGCAATTATTACAATGCAACCTTATTATGTCTATATATTAACATAAACTAGAATGATTAAGCTTCAATTTGATATATAATACATGTTCCACCCTTTAGAAATAAAGATGGGATGACTTTTTGAAATTTTCCCTTTTTTGACAAAGTCTCGTAAATCCCACTTTTGCAATGTTTTGTTTATGTCTTTATTTCTCGCAATTATTACAATCCAACCTTATTATCTCTATATATTGGCATAAACTAGAATGTTTAAGCTTCAATTTGAGATATAATACATGTTCCAAACTTTAGAAATAAAGATGGGATGACTTTTTGAAATATTCACTTTTTTGACAAGATCTCGTAAATCCCACTTTTGCAATGTTTTGTTTATGTCTTTATTTCTCGCAATTATTACAATTCAACCTTATTATCTCTATATATTACCATAAACTAGAATGTTTAAGGTTCAATTTGAGATATAATACATGTTCCAACCTTAAGAAATAAAGATAGGATGATTTTTTGAAATTTTCACTTTTTTGAGAAGGTCTCGTAAATCCCACTTTTGCATTGTTTTGTTTATGTCTTTATTTCTCGCAAATATTATAATCCAACCTTATTATCTCTATTTATTAACATAAACTAGAATGTTTAAGCTTCAATTTGAGATATAATACATGTTCCAATCTTTAGAAATAAAGATGGGATGACTTTTTGAAATTTTCACTTTTTTGACAAGGTCTCGTAAATCCCACTTTTGCATTGTTTTGTTTATGTCTTTATTTCTCGCAATTATTGCAATCCAACCTTATTATCTCTATGTATTAGCATAAACTAGAATGTTTAAGTTTTAATTTGAGGTATAATACATGTTCCAAGTTTTATAAATAAAGATGGAATGGCTTTTTGAAAATTTCAATTTTTTGCCAAGTTTTCGTAAATCCTACTTTTGCAATGTTTTGTTTATGTCTTTATTTCTCGCAATTATTATAGTCTAACCTTATTATCTCTATTTATTAACATAAACTAGAATGTTTGAGCTTCAATTTGAGATCTAATACATATTCCATCCTTCAGAAATAAAGATGGGATGACTTTTTAAAATTTTCAATTTTTTGACAAGTTTTCGCAAATCCTGCTTTTGCAATGCTTTCATTTCTCTCCACGTTTTCCTGGTTTCAATTAAAATAATATTTAAACTACTTATTTTATGATTTATCATTAGTTATATTAAATATAATTTATTATAGGCATTTACTAAAAGTAATTAGTTGGGATAGGGGAAGAGGATAAGATGGTTAGAGGGTGGTAACTTTAACGAGCTGGATACTTGGAAAATTCGAATACCTCAATTCCAGGTACTACAATCAATAATTTCGATGTGTCGATGTGCAAGGACATACAAGGCGTTTCAAAATATAAAATTGAAAAAATATAGATTATATAAATCTTCTTGAAAGAGTAAAAATCACGTAACTCAGTCACGTTTTGGATATTTTCGGGTAAACGTTCTGACATCGTGAGGATAACCTTGAGAACCATTTGGCAAAACGTGTTCTGGCGTGTTCGCGCAAGTTCAAAATTGGTGACGGCACCGCTAAGGGTCGTCACTGTCGGCTGGTGAAATGTGGTCTCTTTGGCGAAGGCGGTGCTGGTGTTAAAAGGCAATCATCGCACCCCCACCGGAAGTTATCTGAGCACGCTCTTACTTCGCGCCGCGTTAAAATGAATTATTGGATCGCCCCAGCAATAACCACTAGACATAATAGGTTTCTGAGGCGTTTCTGCAAGATCCCGTCCGTTCATTCGGAATAACCGACGTCGAATTTTCTTTTCATACGTCGGAAAATTACAATGTCTTCGCTAGGAAAAGACGCTGTTTCGCTTCATAATATTTTATACTCGAGTTTCTAACGAACTTACCTCGACATCAAAGCGATTTTTTTCTCAATCTGATTTACTATTAATTTGGAATCGATTTTTCTCTTTTTAACCATTAAAGTTTTAGTAGTTTTGTTGGTTCTAAAAACCCGAGTCTATAAGATATTATTATTTAAGCAAATTTTAGAGATTCGAAAATTTTCTAATAGGGCTAGAGTTTCCTTAACGAGGAGGTGTAAAATTGGGGCGAAAAAAACGTTAGGAATGAATCATTAAAATCGACAATGAACCGTGGAAATTAAGGGGTTTATTAAAACTTTTTAATCCGCCGTGAGCTCGACTACTATGCCTCATTACTCTTCGAAATTATAACACATTTCCAAGCTTTCCATTGGCAAAAAGAAAGGCCAGAGGGAGATAAAAGTTCACCCTTTGTATGCGGAAATTGTCCCCATTGATTGATACACCAAAAATGCTCGTCAAAGCACGGTATCGATTTTATTTCCATAAACGCACCTCAATTATTTACCTTTTTTTAAAGTTTTTTTTGGTTGCGGTGGTAAATTGCTCACCAAACGAAACACACAACATTTCGTATGGTAGTAAATATTTGACACAGGATGATTTTAATTTATTGGTTACGTTTCTGAATTGTTTACGTGGATACATTTGTTTCATTACGTATTAATGCTCAATGTTGTGATACATCACCAATGAATTGAACAGCCGTTTTCAGAATTATGACGTGAAATGGTGCACATTTGCATGCGTAATTTGTGGAGGACTTTTTTTACTTCTTTCAGTTTTCTCCTCGTATTAATTCTTTTCTTTTCCATGAAAATGTTAAACATATGAAAGTATTGATGTGTATAATTTGCTTGAAAACTTAACAATGGTTTACTAAACGTGCCCTTGAGATAAACAAAAAATGTTAATAACCCTCAACCGAAAAGTTGTGGCGAAATTGAAAAACTTTTGACGGAGGCAGTTTAAGTGCTCTGCGAACTTTTCGAGCTTCACCTATCGCTTTTCCTAATATGCATAATGGTGTATAATACCGCAATCCAAGTTTCGGTTACCGATGGGAATTGAAAAATACGAGAATGTTCGAGAGACTCAAAGGTCAGTTGTGGTGGAAAAACCAGAAAATTTATTTTCTTTTATGTCATTTTACGTTTCAATCTCTAAATGCACCAAATTCACATTGAAGCACTAAAATTAATAAAGACAAAGAAAAAATTGTAAAATCTACTTACGAGATCTTACCAAGAAAATTAAAAATTTCAAAAAATCATCCTATCTTTATTTCTAAAGGTTGGAACATGTATTGTCTCAAATTGAAGCTAAAACACTTTAGTTTAAGTATATGTATATAGAGATAATAAGGTTGGATTGTAATAATTGCGAGAAATAAAGACATAAACAAAACATTGCAAAAGTAGGATTTACGTAAGCTTGTAAAAAAATTGAAAATTTCAGAAAATCATCCCATCTTTATTTCTGAAGGGTGAAAGATGTGTTATATCTCAAATTGAAGCTTAAACATTCTAGTTTATGTTAATATATAGAGATAATAAGGTTGGAATGCAATAAGCCATTCACTTTTAAATACATACATTAGTTTTAGATAGAACAAAATGAATTTTTGTTAATTATTCAATAACCATAAGAAATATACCCCACAAACTATATATATTTGTTATCAGAAGAAAATANAATCTTCGCTTAAGTTGGCCGAAACATCTTTCGATAATCACCCTTTCTTTCTTAAACAATCTGTTGTAAGTTCTTTCAGATTCGTTATTTGGGTTCCGAAATGGTGTCATTAGCCACGGTTCCAAACCATAACCGTCATCTCCTAATAATATTGCACCAGGGAATTGTTGCATAATCAAACGTGTTTCAGAATTTCTCCAAATTCTAGCGTCATGCACAGAACCCGGCCAACTTGCATCAACACTAGTAAAGATTTCTTTGGAGTTGCACGTTGCTTGCACATTTAAAGTCGCCAACCCCTTTCTGTTGATGTATTCATCACCGTGATGGATAGGTTTCAATATTTGAACGTGTGTGCAATCAATTACGCCTATCGCACATGGAAATTGAAATGTCTCCTGCCACCTCTCCTGTGCTTCGTTTACTTGGTTCAACGTTGACGGAAATTTGATCCATAAAGGAGCTTTTTCGAGTATTTTGTTAATCACGAACGTAATTGTTTTTGATACTGTCGACTGATGAATTCCCAATTCTTCAGCAACACCAGTTTGGAAACCAGGATTGGCCATATACCGTAAAAATATCTTAATTTTAAGGTCCGACGAAAGAGCACCTCCTCTTCTTTCGTTGTTGTCGCCCATAAAGTGTGTTGCAATGTAATGCAAATTTTCTTCCTCAAACCGGTAAAGTGATTTAAAATCTCGGTTATCAGCTCCTCTTCGTACTTTGTAATGTTTTTCTGTCCGTAAATTAATAAACTCTGCCATTATTACCAACCACTGAAAGGGTGCATCTAGTACTGAACTAGATGCACATTTTATCGAGGATATGCTCAAAATGTGAAGCAAAACCTCCGTTTTATTCATATCAATCGGAGCATATGCTTAAAAGTAAGTAGATGCTCTTACTTACATTTTTATTCATAAAATATGTAGCAAATGCTCGAAATTTTGCGAGTATAAGGTTTTACTCTCCTTTATTCATACCACCCAATAAGGTTGGATTGTAATAATTGCGAGAAATAAAGACATAAACAAAACATTGCAAAAATAGGATTTACGTAAGCTTGTAAAAAAATTGAAAATTTCAGAAAGTCATCCCATCTTTATTTCCGAAGGGTGAAAGATGTGTTATATCTCAAATTGAAGCTTAGATAGATTAGTTTTAGATAGAACAAAATGAATTTTTGTTAATTATTCAATAACCATAAGAAATATACCCCACAAACTATATATATTTGTTATCAGAAGAAAATAACAAATTATTTTAGGTCATAGCCAACTATGGTTTCCATTTAAGAAAATAAAATTACGTCTAAAATCTCGAAAATAACAAATGGGAAAAAAATTCTACCTACGCCACTTAATTCTTTGTAAAAAGTTGCCCATATAATGTTTTATTTATAATACTCCATCTTTGATAATAAGTGAGATATTCGCGACTGTCGTTTTCGCAGAATTTTCAGTTTTTGCTGATAGGGCGAAAATAAAAGACGGTAGCTGTTCAGAGTTTTCGTCATTAACATTTTCTCGATAAGCGAGATCATGACATGTAAGCTACTTTTTTTCTATCACTTTTAGTTTCGGAGATAGCCTATGCGGACATCGAAATTGGGACACCTGTACAGTATTATAATTAAGACATTATATGGACACTTTTTTACAGAGAATTTGATGACGTAGTCAAAAGAATTTTTTCGGTTTTAGATTTTGAGATATCATGACAATTTTCNCATTTTAATTTTGATTATTGTCAATTTGATTTTGACTAATACCAATTTGAAATTGACATTGCCAATATGATTTTGACTAATGTCATTTTGATTTTGATTAGTGCCAATTTGTGCTAGAAAAGGTATAGAATCATTCGGGTTTAGCCGTCTTAGAAGACGTACGGCTAAACCCAAATGTATCTAGTTCTAAGTTCTAGATCAATTCAAGTAAAAATAGATGGTGATGCTGGTTGCTCATCTGATTCTACTTCTCATTCTTTCTATTCTTGTTACTCTTCTGTTGATTCTTCTCTTCTGTCCACTTCTGATTTTGTTCTCGATCGTACGTGTGAGGCTGATGTAAACGACTTTGGTACTTATGCTGGGATACCTCCAGCTGATTTGTTTAACGGATTAACAAACTTCATCTCCGTGTGTCATATTAATGTGCAAAGTATTACTGCCCACATTGATGATTTCTAAATCATATTCGAATCTAACATTTTTGATATTATTATGGTCAGTGAAACATGGCTTAAACCCTCTCTTCCCTCAGCGATTGTTACACTTCCTAATTATAGTATTTTGAGAAACGATCGTCTGTTTTCGCGAGATGGGGGAGTGGCTTTATTTATCAGGGACACCCTGCGTGCTACGATTGTCGAATCCTCCGATGGGTCAGTTGAGGGTGTTAAATTCAGGCTTGTGGAACTGAAAAGTTCCCACAACAAGTTATTACTTGGCGTTTTTTATTGTTTTCCTCTTGTTAACTACTTTGATCAATTGGATGAAACCCTTGAGAGGCACTCTCTTAAGTATAACACTATTCTCCTGATGGGAGATTTCAATACTTCTCTGTTAAAAAATAACTCACGCAGTGATAAACTTCGCTTCATTGCTTCCTCATTAAAGTTGTCCATCCTGCCCTCACAACCAACTCATCATCTTCCTACATCGCATTCGCTTCTGGATTTTACTATTACGACTCGTCAGCAGCATACTTACGCATGGTCAGATCCCTGCTCCTCAATTTTCCAATAACGATCTAATTTACTGTGCAGTGCAGATGGGACAACATATTTCCTCGCAACGCATTATTCCCGTTCGTGACCTGGGTCGTATTGATAACGATTTGCTGCTGTCTGATGTGCAAAAGATCGATTGGCTCTCGCTTTATCGAATGGCCGATATTAATAAACTTGTCAATCTCTATGACAAGTATGCCTCACTCAGGCGACGCAGGGTGATGAAATAAACGTATTCCAACTACTATTAATCGTGAAAACTATAGGATCTTGCGTAACCGTTGCAATCACCAATGTAGGAATGCCAAAAAATTTTATTTCTATCGGTGACTATCCAATGCTAGTCCGAGGACGTTTTGGAGGATTATGTGTTCCTTAGGGGCGTTTGAGTCTCCCTCTGTTCGGGCTGCTTTTGATGGGGATTCATTGGCGAGGTTTTTTACTGACCCTCCTCTGCTCATTAGGTCGTGAGACTAGGATGACTACTATTACTGAAATTCTTGCCTCATCTAAATCCTCCTCTTTCTCCTTTGTTCTGGTCACAGCATCAGAAATCCGCGATGCCTTGAATCACTCGAGGTCTACTAGTGTGGGAGCTGATGGAGTTGGTCTTAAACTTCTTGTTCCTATATTGGATATTCTTCTTACTCTTATTACTCATATTTTTAACTTCTCCATTGAACGATCCTCATTCCCTTCAATCTGGAAGGTTGCTCATGTTGTCCCTATACCTAAATCCAAGAGTCTTTCAAGTTTAAATGATTTTCGCCCTATTTCCATTTTACCTGTTTTATCCAAAGCTCTCGAGCGGCTTGTTTACTTACAAGTACAAGAGTATTTACAAGAATTTATTTGCAGAATGAGTTTCAATCGGGTTTTCGTAAAGGTCATAGCACGACAACAGCGCTTATTAAGATTACAGATGATATTACGTTGTGTTACCATCCTTGTACTAATTGATTTCAGCAAGACGTTCGATTCGGTTGATCATGATCTCTTGTTGGCGTCACTGGCAGCCGTTGGATTTACCTCTTCGTGTTTATCTTGGTTTCAATCTTACCTTTCTTATCGTTCCTTGTGTGTGCTTGCTGATTCTGCGTTCTCGTCTGCTTGTGATATTAAATGTGGTGTACCCCAGGGTAGTGTGTTGGGTTTGTTGCTCTTTTCAATTTTTATTAATGCCGTCACCCATTGCATTTCTTGTAATTATCTTGTGTATGCTGATGACCTCCAAATTTACACTACGACAACTATTGATGATTTTCCGGAAGCAATTGCACGTCTTAATCATGATCTTTCTAATATTTTGGATGGGTCTAAACGTTATGGCCTTAAATTAAATACTGCTAAAACTCAAGCAATTGCGTTTGGCAATTAAGACACAAAGCTTAATGATTTTTCACCCATTCACGTAATGCTTGACGGTGACATTATTCAGCTGTCAGATACGGTTAGAAACCTTGCGGTGGTTATGGATTCCATAATGTCCTGGAAACTTCAAATTCAATCGGTCTGCAGAAAGGTCTATCATTGTTTCCACTCGCTAAAAAATCTCCGTTGCTTCTTTACTCCCATGGTCCGTCGTAATCTTTGTTATGCTCTGATTTTCCCCCATATTGATTATGCTGACACGGCATATCCTGATCTTTCGGTAACACTCCGAAACAAACTGCAAAGACTTCAAAACAACTGTACACGGTATATCTTTGATCTCGAGAGATCTCAAAACATAACTCCATACCATAATTATTTACAGTTATTTAGCTGTCAGAACCGTAGATCGTTTCGTATATTGACTATGTTATATACTGTTCTTCACAATCAAACACCAAGGTATCTGTACTGTATATTTCAACGCTTGTCATCGCATGGTTTACCCACTAGATCTCAGTTAGATTCTCTGCTTATGTTCCCGACCCATAATACTGAGATTTACCATAAATCGTTTAGTGTGCAGGCCATAACCCTTTGGAATAGTCTGCCTACTGAGATTCGTAATATTCCTCACTTTATGACATTTAAAAACCATCTAAAACGTCATTTATTTGCTCTCCAAGTATCTTCCTGAGAACTCCTTCTTTTTCCTTTTCTTCTCTTCTTGTTCTTTTATTTCTCTTCTTCTTTTATTCTAGCAACTAAGATTAGGCACCGTTTTAGTGACCATACACTGAGGGAAATTATTCTTGACTCTCAAAAAAAATGTATTCTTGAATGTATTTCTTAGAAACAAGTATAAGATACTGTTAAAACAAAAATATTTTTTTGTTTTAAGAATAGAAATATTATCGAATAAAGTATGTCATATTCTTAGCATCGAAGAATATCAATTTTTTGTATCAAAAATCCATCCTTACGTCAATAATTTATAATACTCAAATGAAGAATTATACAAGATTGTTATTACATGAATAAGTTTTTCTAAAAAGAAAGATACGTTATTTTTGAGTTAAGAAATCTATTCTCGATACGAAAATGGGGTTGTTGACGTAACACTAAGATACTCTTTTTCAACATTATTGATTTACTTTTACTAAGAATTCATTTTCTTGAGAATCAAGAATATTTGTATACTTGCTTTGAGAATACTCAACAAAATGATCTTCTTGTGGATATATAAGAATATGATAAGCTTGAGCCAAGAGTAATAATCTTCGTTCAAGAATATATTTCTCTCTGTGTAGGTTTAACGTAGCAGCTTGCCATTTATTTATTGTTTTTTTTTATATATTCAGTATACGGCTGACTGATTGGGTCCTTTGGAAGATAAATCGACCCTTTTGCCTATATTTATACATTAAGTAGTTAAATGTATACATTTTCTTTAATTTGGATTTTTTATTATGAAAGGTANCGACTTCGCTTTGCTATCATTCGAGAAATTTCATAACTAACTTCTGTAGCTGTTTCTGAATCTTGAATGGGTTTTATAAACATAGCTTGCTGACCAATAAGCTCCCGTCTCAGTTTTATGGACGTCGCTCACAATATCAAAAGAAACAAAGTACTTTAATTTAAGTACTCTGATCTAAAA